ATTTGCACAGTAACATTATTATATTATTATATGTATAATCTTGAAATATCATTAATATTAATGTAATAATGTCAGTCAGAAGTTATTTAATATGTAACTAAATAATACCTATTATTTATTATAATTTAAAAGTTCATATGGTGACTGTATGAAACTAAAACAATACTATGGTAATCAGAGATTTTGGTTGAATATTGATCAATGTTCATTATTCAATATTCATGAATGCTTGACATATTGACATCACAATAAATCGGTTCATTGGCAACAATAGCATGATAGGTATACTTACTAATATTTTGTTATTGTGTGTACTATCTAGAAAGAAGTCATTGYGACTGGGCAAAGATGTATATAATTGTGTTCATTTTTACATATTTTTACAAATGTAAATACACTGCCAAACAATTAAAGCTATAAATTGTTCAGAAGAAACAAAAATATATTTTATTTGTTTCAAATTATTTAATTCTATTTATCAAGATTTTAAAATGAGCCTGTTTAATACCTTTGTACTATATGCATTTTGAATATAATAATTACCTCTGTATGATATTGAATTATTTTCATAGTATCTACTTAATTAAGATTATTACTAAGAAAATCAGGAAAACGATGAAAATATGCAGGTACTGTTGTTAAAACCATGCCTATTTTTATCTAGTATAAAATATTTACTTATAATATATTGTTGCAACAATAAGTGAAGCTATTTGACGATTTGTACAGTTTGCAAGACATTTGTTTACAATGTTAAAAGTCGTACAGAAATATTAAGGCTAATAGAAAAAAGCGGGTAAGTTATCGTGGATGTCGCTMWACTGTACAGTAGGTTACAAGTGGATTACTGTAATGGATGGAATTAAATTTGAATCCAATGATATTATATCATTGTATACGATAATCGATTCTGAGCGAAGACTATTTATCTCTCTAGGATATACTATAGATTATTATAAATTATCTAATTTTAGATTTAAAAAGAGAAACTTTTATGAATTTCTATCTAATATAATTTGAACATTGCCGTAATTTGTACGTATTTAGTCAAAATTTGAACTTTAAATGCGTACAAAAAAAAAGTCGGGTTAGGGCCGGTTTCACCACTACTTTAAACTACGATTAAGGTAAACCAGGGTTTAATCGGCCGAATTTGGCAGGTTAAACAACTGTTATCAGTCGATTAAGCGTAATCGACGTTTAAAGTATTTGGTGAAAGCGGCCCTAAGTCGTG